AGAGAATGTTGTTGTTTTTAAGAGCAGGCTCAAGACCCATCTTTTTAACTGCATTTCCTGAACTGGTTCATTTCTGTTCAGTCTATATATTTTCCATATAATTTTATTTAATTTTGTGTGTGTGTAGTTTGCTTTTATTTTGTGGGTTTGTTGTTTATAATTCTGTACAGCACTTTGAGCTGCGAAGGGTGCTTTATAAATAAAATTGATTGATTGATTGATTGATTGATTGATTGATTGATTGATTGATTGATTGATTGATTGATTGATTGATTGATTGATTCTGAGTGGGCCATGTTCTGCACCTCGCTTGTTAAGGTAGCTACAGTTCCTTGAGCTGTGGCCGCAAAGTTGTCGGTGCTTCTCGCGGTGCTCATCCACGAACTCGGTGGTGGACACCCCGGGTTAGGGAGGCTGTCAAGCTGAAGAAGGAGTCCTATTGGGCCTTGTTGGCCAGTGGATCTCTGGAGGCTGCTGAGGAATACTGGAGGGCCAAGCGGTCCGCAACCATGGCTGTTGCTGAGGAAAAGCTCAGATATGGGAGGAGTTTGGTGAGACCTTGGATAGAGACTCTCGGTCGGCTCCGAGAAGATTCTGGCAAACCATCAGGCGGCTGAGGAGGGGAAAGCAGCACTTTACTAACACTGTGTTCAGTGAAGGTGGGGTGCTGTTGACCTAAACCAATGATGTCGTCGGGAGGTGGAAGGAATAATTCTCAGACCTTCTCAATCCCACCAGCCCGCCTTCCATGGAGGAAGCTGAGTCGAGGGACTTTGGGGTTGATCCGTCCATAACCGTGGCTGAGGTTGCCTAGTTAGTTAAAAAGCTCGGAGGCGGCAGGGCTCCAGGAGTGGATGAGATTCACCCTGATTTCCTTGAGGCTCTGGATATTGTGGGGCTGTCTTGGCTGACACGCCTTTGCAACGTTGCGTGGACATCGGTGGCAATGCCACTGGACTGGCACACTGGGGTAGTGGTTCCCCTCTTCAAAAAGGGGGACCAGAGGGTGTGCTCCAATTATAGGGGCATCACTCTCCTTAGCCTCCCTGGTAAGGTCTATTCAGGGGTACTGGAGAAGCAAGTCTGATCGTTGGTCAAACCTCAGATCCAGGAGGAACAATGTGGGTTCCATCCTGGCTGTAGAACACTGAATCAGCTCTTTAACCTCACTACGGTCCTTGGGGGGTCATGGGAGTTTGCCCATCCAGTCTACATGTGTTTTGTGGAGTTGGAGAAGGCATTCGACCGTATTCCTCGGGGTACACTGTGGGAGGGGTGCTCCATGAGCATGGGATTGGAAACCCGTTGTTGCGGGCTGTTCAGTCCCTATACAAGCGGTGCGAAAGTTTGGTTCGCATTGCCGGCAGTAAGTCAGACCCCTTCAGTGTGGGAGTTGGATTCCGCCAGGGCTGCCCGTTGTCACCGATTCTGTTCATAACTTTTATGGACAGAATTCCTAAGTGCAGCCAGCTGGCAGAGGGTTTCTGGTTCGGTGGTCTCAGGATTCCATCTCTGCTCTTTGCAGATGATGTGGTCCTGTTGGCATCATCATGCCCTGATTTTCAGCTCTCACTGGAGCGATTCACAGTCGAGTGTGAAGCAATTGAGTTGAGAATCAGCACCTCCAAATCTGAGGCCATGGTCCTCAACCGGAAAAGGATGAATTGCTCTCTTCAGGTCGAGGGTGAGGTTCTGCCTCAAGTGGAAGAGTTCAAGTGTCTTGGAGTTTTGTTCACGAATGAGGGAAGAATGGAGCGTCAGATTGACAGATGGATTGGTGCAGCATCTGCAGTATTGCAGACTCTGTACCGGTCCGTTGTGGTGAAGAGAGAGCTGAGCTGTAAGGCAAAGCTCTCTGTTTACTGGTTGGTCTACGTTCCTACCCTCACCAATGGTCGTGAGCTCTGGGTTGTGACCGAAAGAATGAGATCACGGATACAGGCGGTTGAAATGAGTTTTCTACGCAGAGTAGCTGGACTCTCCCTTAGAGATAGGGTGAGAAGTTCAGTTATTCGGGAGCGACTCGGAGTAGAACTGCTACTGCTCCACGTACAAAGGAGCCAGTTGAGGTGGTTCGAGCATCTAGTAAGGAAAACCCCTGGGCGCCTCCCTAAAGAGGTGCTTTGCGCATGTCCAACTGGGAGGAGACCCCGGGGAAGACCCAGGGCACACTTGAGAGACTACGTCTCTCAGTTGGCCTTGGAACGCCTTGGAATCATCCCAGAAGAGCTGGTAGCGGTGGCTGTGGAAAGAGATGTCTGGGCCTCCCTGCTCAAACTGCTGCCCCCACGACCTGACCTCAGAATAAGCAGAAGATAATGGATAAATGTATGGACAGATTAGCTGTCACAAGCTAATATTAGTCATAATTAGTTGCCACAGATGTGGCTTAGTGCAAAGTTATTGCCAGTTGTTCAGTGTTATTTATCAAGAGTTCAGTAATCTGACAGCTTGTGGATAATAGATAGATAGAACTTTATTGATCCCACAGGAAATTATTAAGCTTTCCTTTAGTCTATGTATGCGATAGCAGACTCCTGTATCGTCTGACTGAGGATAGTAGACAAAAGAATCCTTGTGTTGGGTTGGTGTGGTTCTTAATGATGCTGCGTGCTTTATAAAGACATCGGCTGTGGTTAGGGCTGTATACCGAACTGAGGTTATTTTATGGCACCAACCGAACTGCACCGGTCGGTGTATGGATTGAAACGTCACTCTTCTTTCTGTGTCAAGTTTCGATATTGGCTGTAATGTGTCACGTGGTTTCAACACGCAGGCAGGTAAAACACCAGACATATGACAAACAGACTACGTGTTTACATCCAGAGTTGTATACAGCTGCCCTACAGTTGTATGTCTATGGTGCTGGTTACGCCCACAGACGGAGTTCAAGTGTGCAGCGTGTGTGGCGTTGAACGGCTTCAATTTACGAGTGGAAAGTTGCTCCGTGTTTGTCTTCAAGGGGCCTCCCCCCCTCCTCTCCGCGTTAAAGTCTGCCTATGAGTGTTAGAGAGCATGAACGGCCTGAAACAACATTCCACGACTGGACTCCTCTTCATCAAAGAACTCCGAGGACGGAGCTGTGTCTGGGATTTCAGCTGGTAAGTTTACGTTTGTTAACGTTACTGCAGCTTAACACGTTCATCGCGGTTAGTTAAACTTGGATCCATGTAACGCTAACTTTAAGATATTAGTGTGTAGGTTTATTTTATCTATGTAGCTAGCTTAACTCAGAAGTTAACTAAAGATTGACATTAACAGATAAAGCTTGTAAAAATGTCCTCATTGTAGTGATATAGGCCTGAAGGTCAAAACCTTGACCTTAGGCACCATATGGGACAAAACTTGTTATTTCATTGATTTGCATCCAGAAATACAGGTTGACCCATCCTGAGACTTCCTGCCTGTCTGTTCACCACGCTCACTTCCTGCACTGTGATCAACAGAATCCTTCTCACCTGGTGGTCGTAGCATTTAAACGCTCCCCTGTTCTATATCTGACACCAGATTATTGAAAGCCTTGCACAAGTAGATGTCTAGTGATTATCTCATGCTCCTGATTATCTCATGCTCCTGATCTCTGATCTCCTCATACTGACCAAGTTTCTGTGCCCTGGATTTTTCTGTTTAAGTTTGTGAAACTTTCCAGTGTGTTTCCACAGACGTGTGCTGATTCCCATCAGTCCTTTTAAAATAAAGCTTATTGAACGCACTTTGTCTAATTGAATTTTTGGGTCCTCCGCTAAATTCACTATAGAGGAAAGGTCAGTAAGAGAGTGGGAAAGGTTTGTAGGAGTGTGGGAAGGGTTTAAAAAGCCTTAAATATATATGGTAAATTATATATATATATATATATATATATATATATATATATATAATGGTAAATGGAAAGGAATGTACCTTTGTATCTTCTCAAGATACTCAAAGCTCTTTACAACAGTCTGTGCCCTCATTTATCCATTCATACAGCACTCTACTATATATCCAAAAAAGTTCAATCTGGTCCTCTGGACATTCAAAAAAAAACAACAAAAAAAAACAAAGCAAAAAATATAGAAACGTTTCATCTCTCATCCAAGAGACTTCCTCAGTCTGAGGTGCTGTTTTCAGCTCAGTCTCTTAAATAGCACCTTCTCAGAGTGGATCAACCAGTTTGCTGCCGACAACCAAAACCAGCTGCTCACATGGTCAAGAAGGACCATCAACCTAACAATGGATCATTAGCACACAAGTGTGCAAGGATGACTGCTCTAACCACTCAACCACAGCTGCCTCATTTATATCCAATTATAAAATAAATATAATGCCACTACTTTGCAGATTTTCATCTATCGCAGAGGTCTCTGGAACGTAACCCCTGTGATCGGTAAGTGTGCATGTGATGACACTGTACTAGTGTATTGGTGTGGGCGTACAGCTGGAGCGATTACGTAATGAGGTGATGTGTGCACCCCCTCCATGGAGAGTGTGTGTGTGTGTGTGTGGGGGGGGGGGGGGTTAGTAGTCCCTAGAGCTGAATGACTAAGGCTGACAAAAAAAATGAATGAGGTTTTCCAGCAATAATGATTAGTGATGGCCGTCATACAGTTGCTATGGGGGCCTCCTTGGGAGCGTGAGTATGGTAAGGGTGGGGGTGGGGAAGGTGGGGTGGTGACTGTGCAAACTCACCGTGAGCTCAGCTTTAGCACACGTCTATGCTTCTCTGCCCCCTCCTGCTTTCCTGCATACTGCATACAGTGTCACTTCAACAGGCACTGAGAGAGCCACCAACACACACACGTGCACTCTCACAAGCACAGACTGGACCCTCCAGCTGTTAAAACCAGAACATTTGACAGAGCAACATGGACTAATGACGCAGACACACTCTTCATGCTCCCTCTCTGAGTATAAACAAACTAGCATGCCCAGTAATGCACCGCCTGAGGTGTGGTCCTATTTCACATGCACACGCACACACACATCATCTCAGAAGAGAATAGGAACGGCTCTGTTCTTACCTGTCCAAGGTGTCATGGCTGGATGTGGCCGCAGCTCCCAGCAGTCCCAGTGCTGCACTCCCCACCGCTGCAACAGCCCCGCTGCCTGCCTCCATGATACTGACTCACCGCAATGAGCAGCCTGCCAGAGAAGTGGAAGGGGAGGGACGAGGGGAAGGGAGGGGAGGGGGAGGGTGGAGGTGAAGGATGGAATGGATTTGAAGAAGTACCGGTAGATCAGGAAGGCGAAAGATGAGATAGAAATCACATGTAGAGGCAAGAGGGACAATAAGAAGGAAAATGCAGAGTAAGGCAAAACTGTGAAAATAATGATTAGGATCAGTCTATGGAGGAAAAGAAAAGGGATCATAGAAAATGAGTGTGTGGGGGGAGGAGAGGGGAACAGAGAGAGCAATCATTAAATGGACTGTACTTATATAGCGCCTTTCTATCTTATTTCAAGATACTCAAAGCGCTTTACACTACAATCTGTGTCCTCATTTACCCATTCATACAGCACTCTACTAGATCTCTACAAAGCTAATTGAACAAATCATTCTAATGAGACTAATCAGTGCTTTAGATCACATTCAGACACCGATGGGACACACATCAGAGGCTATGAGAGGTTCAGTGTCTTACCCAGGGACACTTCGACATGTGACTGCTGGTGGATTCGAACCCCCAACTCTCGCATTGGAGGACGACTGCTCTAACCACTCAGCCACAGCCGCCCGTCATTAACTGTGAGTGGATCAGCTGAATCGTGATCTTTACAAATCCACATTTCACTTCAGAGTTACATGGAGTTCTGGCAGTCTACTGGTGTGAATCAGCAATTCACACACACCCCAACCCCCCTACAACCCACCATCCTGAGCTCCCAAACAGTTCAGGCTCAGGTTCAGTCCAGATTTTTTTTTCAGTCAACCAGCTTTTTATATGACTTCATTTGATGATATCAGCATGAAGTTTAAATGATGGCATGTGAAAACATGACACCCTAGTCAGTAAACCACTAATAATAACTAAAGAAAATGCAGTATGGATGAAAAGTGCTCAATGACTGTGTTAATTTGCTAAACAAGCTAAAACTATTGTTAAGTTCAAAAAAGCAGAACAGAAGCTGAATGAGAAGGGCATAGGCTCAAAGCAGAACTGCAGCTAAAAAGCAGTAGCTAAAATTAGCTAAATCTATGCTGATCTAGTATTAGCAAACAAGTAGCTAACAAAATAAAAGCTAGAAGCAGCAAATCAGATGCTAAAGCTAAAATTTGCTCAACTGTAGAAAACAGCTAAAAGAAGCATAATGTTGCTAAAAGTAGGGAGTAACGGCTTTAAGTACTCAGCTCAATTAGTACACATTATTACACATTTCTCACAAGGTGGGAAAAGCCCAACAGAGACTCTACTTTGTTAGGAACTTGAAACAGATCTAGCTTTGCCAGGACCTGCTGATTTCTATGGCTGGGCCACCAATACCATACCATACCAATTTATTTATATAGCACTTAAAACAGCAACAAGGCCAACCAATGACAGCATCTGAGCACTGTACAGTGTGTGGTGAGAACAGTAGAGAGGGTGATGGGGAAACATTTACCATCTATAGTTGAGATGCATGTTGGCCTACAGATGTATCTACAAAGACCCCTCTCAACCTGCTCAAGTCCTGTTTACCTCCTCCCCTCTGGAAGGAGCTATAGGGCAATGAAAGCCGACACAGACTGAAGCACAGTTTATATCCTTAGGTGGTAAAATCTGTGCAGCCCCCAGATGAAGAAGTCTAATTTTATAAAGCATTTTATTAAGTACAGTTTAATTTTTCAGTTTGTATTGTCTAAATTTAAATGCTTTTATTTTAGTCATATTTTGATACACAGTGAACCTCTGAAATCCGTGGGGGTTACGTTCTTAGAGAACCAACGAATTGTGGAAAAACCACAAATAATGGATGTGATAAACAAAAGACCTATAAATGTTGATTTTTAGAGCTTGAACCCTAAATAAGCTCCCAGTACATAAAATATAAGGTATAAATTTAATTTATCTTAATAAAAATACAGTAAAAGGTATGGACACATAAAAATGAATGATATAGACTGTGCAGCAAATAAGATGATTTACAGCAGCTCATGTTCCAGCACCTCCCTCTTTCTGGAGTTGTACAGGTCCTTCTCAAAAAAATTAGCATATTGTGATAAAGGTCATTATTTTCCATAATGTAATGATAAAAATTAAACTTTCATATATTTCAGATTCATTACACACCAACTGAAATATTTCAGGTTTTTAATTGTTTTAATACTGATGATTATGGCATACAGCTCATGAAAACCCAAAATGTCTGTCCCAAAAAATTAGCATATCATGAAAAGGTTCTCTAAACAAGCTATTAACCTAACCATCTGAATCAACGACATAACTCTAAACACCTGCAAAAGATTCCTGAGGCTTTTAAAAACTCCCAGCCTTGTTCATTACTCAAAACCTGTCACAACAGACTGAACCCAGAGTAGTACGAAAACCAGGAATAAG